AACCCCATTGCCCCCATCGACCCCATCGACCCCATTGACCCCATCAACTCTATGACCCTCATCGACCCCATTGATCCCATCAACCCCATTCATCCCATCAACCCCATTGACCCCGTTGACCCCATTGACCCCGTGACCCCCCCCTTGACCCCGGCAGGGCCTGGCGGAGGCGGTGGCAGCCGAGCGGCTGCTGCGGGATGGTCCCAACGAGCTCCGTCCCCCCAAGGGGACCCCCGAGTGCGTCAAGTTTGGACGGCAACTGGCCGGGGGTCTCCAGTGCCTGATGTGGGTCGCGGCCGCCATTTGTCTCATCGCCTACGGCGTGCAGGAGGGGGAGGGGGACCGCGGCAGCTCCGACAACGTACGCCCGGGTCCATCTGCGGTGGGGGGGGAGGACACCTGGGTCCATCATCTCAGAGGGAACATCTAGGTCCACCTTAAGGGGGGTGAAGACGTGGGTCCGTGGGTTGAGGAACATCTTGGTCCACCTGGAGGAACATCTGGGTCCATCTCAGGAGGGGACACGTGGCTCCTTGGGTTGGGAATAGCTGGGTCCATCATGGAGAGGACACTTGGGTCCATCTTGGGGGGGACATTTGGGTCCATCTCTGGGGGACACACCTAGACCCACATCTGGGACCATCCTGGGGGGCACCTGGAAGCCAGAGACCCTCAAGAGGTGGGATCTGGGAGGGGTTCCAGGCTGCTTAGAACCTTCTGGGGGAGGAGGAGGAGGAGCAGGACATCTGGGTCCCTCTTGGAGAGGGGAGGACCACCCGGACACCCGGGTCCCCACCCTGGGGGGGGGGGGCGCCCCCGGGCCCCCCCCCCGGGGGGGGGGGGGGCCTGATCTTGTCCCCACCCCCCCCCCCCAGCTCTACCTCGCCATCGCCCTCATCGCCGTCGTGGTGGTCACCGGCTGCTTCGGGTACTACCAGGAGTTCAAGAGCACCAACATCATCGCCAGCTTCAAGAACCTCGTCCCTCAGGTGGGACCATCTGGATTCTGGGGTTCCTTCCCTTCACCCCGGACATCTGGGTCCCCAACCAGGACATCTGGGTCCCCCCCCCTCACCCGGCTCCTCTTGTCCCCTCCCAGCAAGCCACGGTCATCCGAGAAGGTGACAAACTCCAGATCAACGCCAACGAGTTGGTGGTGGGGGACCTGGTGGAGATCAAAGGAGGGGACCGAGTCCCCGCCGACATTCGCATCATCTCGGCTCAGGGGTGTAAGGTGGGTCCTGGACCCCCTTTTTTGGGGGGGTTGGTGGGTGCCCAGACCCCCTCGGGGTGACCCGGTGGCCTCATCCCACCACCTCCAGGTGGACAACTCATCGTTGACGGGGGAGTCGGAGCCCCAGACGCGCTCCCCCGAGTGCACCCACGACTCGCCCCTGGAGACCCGCAACATCGCCTTCTTCTCCACCATGTGCCTGGAAGGTGGGTCCTCAACCCCACACCCCCCACACCCCCTCCCCCCAACAGCTGGGTGTCCCCCCCCCACAACCTTCTTGGCTTCTCCAGGGACGGCCGTGGGGCTGGTGATCAACACGGGGGACAGGACCATCATCGGCCGAATCGCCAGCTTGGCCTCGGGGGTGGAGAACGAGAAGACGCCCATCGCCATCGAGATCGAGCACTTCGTCGACATCATCGCCGGCCTCGCCATCTTCTTCGGGGCCACCTTCTTCGTGGTGGCCATGGTCATCGGTTACCCCTTCCTCCGGGCCATGGTCTTCTTCATGGCCATCGTGGTGGCTTACGTCCCCGAGGGGCTGCTGGCCACCGTCACGGTACGGTTTGGGGGCGTCATAGGCTTGGGGTGGGGTTGGAGCTCTAGGGCTGTGGGTCACGTGACAAAGGATGGGAGCTTTGGGAGACTTGAGGGTCTTCACGGGACTCACCTGGGACCCATGAGGTCCCCATCAAAAGCCACGGGTGCTGAAGACTTGAAGGTCTCCATGAGGGGCTTGAGGGTCTTCATGGAACCATGGGGCTCCCCTGGGACTCTTGAGGTCCCCATGGGTCCAACACACCCCAGAGGTCCCACATTGGTTCTGGTTCTCCCTACAGCTCCATGGGCATCAACCTCTTCCCTGGGGCTCCTCATGGTTCCAAAGCCACCTCAGAAGCTCCAGGAGGTCCCTAAGCATCCCATAGGGTGCCACAGGATCTCCCAGGGTTCCCTGGGATGCTGAGGGACCTCCCCACCTCCCCACCCCCCCAGGTTTGCCTCTCCTTGACGGCGAAGAGGTTGGCGAGGAAGAACTGCGTGGTGAAGAACCTGGAAGCCGTGGAGACCTTGGGCTCCACCTCGGTCATCTGCTCCGACAAGACGGGGACCCTCACCCAGAACCGCATGACGGTGGCCCACCTCTGGTTCGACAACCAGATCCACACGGCCGACACCACCGAGGACCAATCGGGTGAGCCCGGATGCGCCCCCGCCCCATATCTGCCCCATATCTGCCCCTCCCCAACCTGGGTCCCTCGGAGGTGACCCCCCAAATTGGTCCCACCACCCCCAAGGTCAGAGCTTCGACCAATCGTCGGAGACGTGGACCATGTTGAGCCGCGTCGTCACCCTCTGCAACCGGGCCCAGTTCAAGCCGGGGCAGGACGACGTCCCCGTGGCCAAGGTGGGGGGCGCCCTATGGGGCCACGGGACATCTAGGGGGCTCTATGTGGGGCTGGGAGGGGTAGAGAAGGACCAGGACCCATAGAGAGGTCCCCTGTGGGGCTGGGAGGGATGTCTAGGGAGCAGAACCCCTAGAGGAGGCATCTAGGACCTCCGTGGGCGTCCTCCATGGGGCTGGGAGGGTCCAACAGGGGCCAGGACCTGCCCCATAGGGGCCCTATGGGGGTGGGGGTGGTGGGGTGGGAGGTGGGAGGTCACCCCGTTTCAGCCCCTCCCCCCTCCCCCCGGCAGCGTGACGTCATCGGCGACGCCTCGGAGACGGCGCTGCTGAAGTTCGCGGAGGTGACGGTGGGGCCGGTGACGGAGGCGCGAGGCCGGTTCCCCAAAGTGGCCGAACTGCCCTTCAACTCCACCAACAAGTTCCAGGTAGGGGCGCCCAAGGGTTCGGGGCGGGGGGGGGACACCCCCATGTAACCGAGAAAGGGGGACCCGAGGTGTCCAAGAGGGACCTTGAGGTTCAGGAAGAACCTCGAGGTTCCTGAAGGACCTCAAGGTTCATGAAGGACCTGAGTGTCCAAGGGGACCCAGGTGCCCAAGAGGGACCTTGAGGTTCATGAAGGACCTTGAGGTTGAGGAGAGACCCC